TTTTTAAGAAGGAGAGAATCCCACCTCATCCCATTTTTTTAAGTGTAAATGCTTTTTTTTTTTTTTTTAAGAGGTGAAATCATTTACTGGTTGTTTATTTTTCAGTACAACCAGAAAATATAGGTGGCTTGACTTATAGGAGGCTGACTCTCTTGCGTGTCAGCTTAACATTCCATAGGTGGGGGCGGGTGGGTAGTTTTTATATCCTAAATACAAAGCATACTAAATGGCAGTTTGGAGCTAACTGCTGGTCCCAGTATTGTTTCCTAAAGAAAACCACTCTTTTTTTTTTTTTTGAGATTTACTTTATTTAATTTTATTTATTCATTTATTTATTTTAATTTGACCAGAGAGAGACACAGAGAAAGAGAGAGAGAAAAAATGAGAAAGCAAGCTACCAGGTCCAGGACTTGAATCGTGGTCAGCCATGTGGGAGTGTCCAGCACCTCAACCACCACGCCACCTGCTGGTCCCCAAGAAAACCACTCTTTGATTATTGCTCTCCCTGTCAGAATTGTGTGCACTCTCTAACACCTTTGGTCGTGGTAGTCCAGTTTTCCTAATCATTTTGTACATGTGCTGTGAAAGATTGGAAATTTGAAGTATGTAGTGTGTATGATACTAAATTGTGATTTGGTGGGACTTACATAACAGCTTTCAACATTTAAAGATAATGGTTCTTGATATTTTCTTAAGGAAAATTTGCCTACAAATTTGAAGCTAGAATGTCACTGGAATAACTTAAAAAGAATCACTATGCTTGGCTTTTTAAAAACTTTTTGGTACATATGTTAAGAATTGGGTACAAATTGGGACCAGCAGTTAGCGTAATGGCTATGTCGCTGGACTCCCACGTAATTAAACACAGTTCGAGTCCCGGACCCAGTGGCATAAACTCACACCGAGCACATGTGCGTGCATGTCCAAGATCCCGAGAGGAGGATGGAGGAGAAGGGATTGTGGCGTGGCTATCCCCCCTGGGGGGTGATTTCTCGCTTTCTGTCTCTCTGTCTCTCTCTGTCTTTCTGATGACACCCTATAGCAAAAACTTCTACAAAAAAAAACAAAAAAGAATTGGGTACAAATTGAAATGTCTGTACTGATCTTTGACACAACCAATAAATCTCAATTACAATAGGAAAAAAAAAAAAAAGAAATCAGGACAGACAGGAAAGGAATGAGGATTTTGAGGTTGCCAGTAGGAGTATCCAGTTCACCATTCACCACCCAAATGACCACAGCAAGGAGTTAAGGAAGGTCGCGGAGGGGAGGGGTCTAGTTAGGAGCTGGGAAGCATGAGTGCAAGTCCCAGCCTCTCCAGTTGTGATAGGCAAGTGACCTGCTCTGGCCATACCTCAACTGTGCCTATCTGGAGAATGGGTGTGATACCATGACCATGGCACCAGGCAGTTTGGAAGAGTCTCGTGAAATCAGTGATACGCCTATGTCAAAAATCTGCACGTGGCCGTGAGACTGTATGTCATCACACGTACATTTTCCTACAAAGAGAGAGAAAAAAGGGCTGTTTGAAAAAATATTGAACTCTAGTAACATGCATGTTGAAATATTCAGAGGAAAACGGGCTGGAATACACCAAAAAATGATTAACGGATGGACAGAGAGATAAACAGATAAAAACTTGGCGAAGAAGTATTGTAAAGTAATTACAGATTCTAGGTTGTGGCTATATGGATGTTCACTTTAAGGACGTTTTCGGGACCAGTAGAGGGCATAATGGTTATATCACTGGACTTCCACAGGGTCAACTGCAGTTCAAGTCCTGGACCCGATGGCTTAGGTTTTATGCTGGGTGCGTGTGCATGTGTGCCCAAAATCCCAAGAAGAGAATGGCGGAGGAGGAATTGCTGAATGACCATACCCCCGGAGGGTGATTTCTCACTTTCTGTCTCTCTGTCTGTCTTTGTCTGTCTGGCGAGTGTATACACCCTCTATCAAAAATATCTCTTAGGACCAGCAGTTAGCGTAATGGCTATGTCGCTGGACTCCCATGTAGTTGACCATGGTTTGCATCCCGAACCCGGTGGTTTAAAACTCACACCGGGCACGTGTGCGTGTGTGCCCAAGATCCCGAGAGGAGAATGGAGTAGAAGGGATTGCGGCGTGGCCATCCCCCCTGGGGGTGATTTCTCGCTTTCTGTCTCTCTCTGTCTTTCTGGCAACTGCATGCACCCTATAGCAAAAACCTCTCCAAAAAAAAAAAAAAAAAGAAAGAAAAAAAGAAAAGAAAAGAAAAGGAGAAAAGAGGATTGTGATGTGACCACGTCCCATGGGGCTGGAAAGCCCAGGAGATTTTCACCCTCTTTCCTTGTTTCTGTCTCTTTCTGGCTAGTATACATGCCTTCTGCAATTAAAAAAAAAGTGAGAAAAGCATTGATAAGACATTAGCAAAGTCTTCAAATAGAACTATAATTTTTACAGATGAATTTCAAATTGTATACCTAGGGAAGAGTGAGGTACAGTCCTAGTACACAATGGTAAATGCCCACGAACTGAAAGGTGTCCAGCTCTGAATTGGGATCATTCATTTAAAAAATTATAGAGGGTGGGGCCAGCAGGTGGCATGGTGGTTAAGGCGTTGGACTCCCAGATAGCCGACCATGATTCGAATCCTGGACCTGGCAGCTTTCTTTCTCACTTTCCCTCTCTCTTTTTCTGGTCAAAATAAATAATAATAATAAATAAATAAAATAATTATTTTTTAAGTAAATAAAATAAAAATTATAGGGGGGCCAGCAGGCAACAGAGTGGTTAAGGTGTTGGACTCCCACACGGCAGAACACAGTTTGAGTCATGGACCTGGAAGCTTGCTTTCTCTATTTCCCTCTCTCTGTGTCTGTTTCTGGTGAGCACATGTGCCCTAGAGCAAATTAAAGAGCAATAATAATAGTAAATAAATTTTCATAAATAATTCTTTTTAAAATAGGTTTTTGCCTTAGGGTGCATGCACTCACTGGAGAGACAGAGACAGTGAGACAGCCCCAGAGGGAATGGCCACACCACAATCCCTTTTCCTCCATTCTCCTTCTGGGATCATGGTCACGTGTACACACATGCCCTGCCTGAGTTTGAAGCCACTGGATCTGGGACTCAAACTGCGATTGGTCATGAGGTAATCCAGCGATGTAATCACTACACCATCTACTGGCCCCAAATAAATAATTATTTTTAAAAAGTATAAACATTGGGCCAGCAGGTGGCAGGGAGATGAAGGCGGCTGGTTCCCACATGGCCGACTACAATTTGAGCCCCTGGAATGGTGGCTTGAAACACACAGGGCATGTGTGCATGTGTGCTCAAAATTCCAAGAGAAGAATGGAGAAGGGATTATGCTTGGCCATGTCCCCAGTGAGTGATATCTCACTTTCTCTCTCACTGTCTCTGTCTCTCTTCTGGGACAGCAGGCATCCCAAGGCAAAGAACTCTTTTTTTTTTTTATACATCATGAATAGTTAGGGGCAAATATAACTCTTAGTATATATGTATACATATATATTATACGTATATAAACATTATTAAAGAATCCATTTTATTTAAATTTTACAACAATCCTGTGAAGGATGAGCTGTTATCTGCATTTTATGTTCAAGGACTTCAACGTTAAGAGAGGAGGTGGGACTAGCGGGTAGTGTGCTGGTTAAGGTGCTAGACACTCCCATGTGGTTGACCACGGTGCGAGTCCCGGACCTGGCAGCTTGCTTTCTGACTTTCCCTTTCTCTCTCTGTTCAATTTAAAATAAATGAATGAATGAATAAAATTTAATAATTTTTAAAAATTATTTATTTATTTATCCACTCATTTATTTTTTTAATTTGACCAGAGAGAGACACAGAGAGAGAGAGGGAAAGGAGCACCCCCAGCCGCGCGCGACCCCCGCCCCCGCCGTTGGCCGCGTGGAAGTGTCCAGCACCTTAACCACCACGCCACCTGCTGGCCCCAAAATTTAATAATTTTTTAAAAAAGAAAGGAGGCAAAAACCCTAGCTCAGGAGTAGTTGAAGACTGCAAACGAGGCTGCCGACAATAACCTTCGCTTCTTAGCGAGGAGACCTAGGTGGCTTAAGGGCTCCAAGTTAAGGTCCAATTTCTTTGGCGTATAAAACACTCTCCAATGCCCCGTCCCCCGTGTACCTCACACCGAGGCCCCACCCCACTCTTGGCCTTGCTAGTCGGCCTTCTATGGATGCTCCGGCCCCTCTCTAGGTCTCAGTCCGCCTCTTGTTCATAGGACAGCGCCGACCTTGCCACAGCCAATCAGCAGCTGCGATTCGACCCCGCCCTTCTCAAGTCCCCCCCTGCCCCGCCCCTGCCTTCCGTCTCCAAATCCGGGCGGCTTCAGCCCCGGAGGCTCAGAGCCACACTGCGCCTCCCTAGAGGTCCCTTCGCTGCTGGTATCCGCTACCTCCGGGAACCACCCCGCGCCGCCTCCCGCACCCAGGTGCCTAGGTCCCCTCCCCCGGAGCTTCACTTCCCAGACCCCAGATTCCATAACCACGAGTCCCTGCCTCCCGGATCTTCAGGTCCCGGATTCGCGCCGCTGGCACCGAGCCTCTTGCTGACCTCAGCCTCGTGGGAGCCCTCTGCCTCCCGCAGCCGAGGAACCTACGTCCCAGCCTAAGGAACCCCAGTAACCCTAACTCCCAGCTTTCGGACAGCGGACACAATCGGAAAGAGAAGAGCCCCAGCTCTCAACCGAGGGACCCAGACACTCCAGCTTTCTGAGCCAAGGAGCCGGCCAAAGTTCCAGCCTCCAGGCGCCGTTACTCAGCTCTCAGTCCCGGGAACGCCAGAGTCCTAGGAAGGAGCCCCGCGCACTCCCAGCTCCAGGCGCTAAGGAACCCGCGGTGCGTCCATCATGGTGGCCGATCCTCCCAGGGGAGACCCCAAGGGGTTCCCGGCGGCGGAGCCCATCGTGAACAGTGTCCCGACGCCGGGCTCCGTGGAGGACAAAGGCACGGCCACAAGCAGC